CTACAACACCTTGCTTGTTTCAGCAAGAAGCAACAAAGTTTCATCACGTTGTTAAGAGTCCATGTTACCGCCGGAAATGGACTCAACTGCACGAATGCCCCAGCCGTCCCGTCTTCAGTCAGCTGTTCATAAAAATATATATATATTTTTAACGGGTCTGTATCCATAACCGGCGGTTACACGGTTATATGTAATTGTGCCAGCCCTACCTGCTCCACTTACTCTTTGCTAGCTCTAGCCTGTCCTCATCTTAGCTCCCCACTCATGCTGTACAGAACTTAACACACTTGAATAATGCAACACAGCATTTAGAAATGTTGCAACTGTTAATTACTTTTCACAAAACAATGTACATTATTACAGGCTAGAACGCTTTACAATGCAAGAAGATACCGGTAGCTTCCAGCTTTGTAGGCTAACGTACAGATGAAGCTAACATCAATTCACTACCCTAGTCTCAAAGCTGATTGTCACCATAAACCATACAATCATTGCCAAAAACGTTATCTATTCACTTGCCTCCCGCGCCTCAGTCATGTCTCTCCTGTCTCTCACTGTGTGTGAATGACATCATTAGGTTTAAAAGAGACCGCATACACTTTTATAAAAGATGAGATTGCTTCTTCTATGCAAATGTTGATGATCAGTACAATTAAAATAAGTCCCGAAAGGAAACAATAGTTTTTAATCTGTAGCCCCATTTTTAAAAACAGCCAAAACAAGCTCAATAACTCAATGCATGAACACACTCACTGAATATGCATTCAACTGTATTGTGAATAGGCCTAGGCTACATCTTCATTTATCTAGTTTATCAATAGAGGTTTACATTAGGTTGTTATGTAGTTCGGTAAAGATAAAGTCAAATTGATTGTATTAGGGATGGGGGTTTGAAATTATTTCACTATTCGAATAGTATCATGAATGTCTTTCGGATATCCGTCTTACCTTAGCTCACTGGTCACCATAGCAACACCCACCCGTAGTCTGCGCTCCAGCAGTTCTATCTCACTGGTCATCCCCAAAGCCAACACCTCCTTTGGCCGCCATTCCTTCCAGTTCTCTGCTGCCAATGACTGGAACGAACTGCAAAAATCTCTGAAGCTGGAGACACTTATCTCCCTCACTAACTTTAGGCGTCAGTTGTCAGAGCAGCTTACCGATCACTGCACCTGTACACAGCCCATCTGTAATTAGCCCACTCAACTACCTCATCCCCATATTGTTATTTATTTTGCTAATTTGCACCCCAGTATCTCTATTTGCACATCATCTTTTGCACATCTATCATTCCAGTGTTAATACGAAATTGTAACTATTTTGCACTATGGCCTATTTATTGCCTTAACTAAATAACTTACTACATTCGCACACACTGTATATATATTTTCTGTTTGTATTTTTGACGTTATGTTTTGTTTACCCCATATGTAACTCTGTGTTGTTTTTATCGCACTGCTTTGCTTTATCTTGGCCAGGTCGCAAATGAGAACTTGTTCTCAACTGGCTTACCTGGTTAAATAAAGATGAAAAAAAAAAAATAAAAATTATTTCACCTGAGCACTGCTGCGCGAAAGGCTGGTGCTCTATTGCTGCGGCTGGTGAGATTGGAGCGAGCGAGCAGGAGTGAGAGAGAAGCTGTACCCAAGGCAACTCTGCTACAGCCAAGACTAGCTAACTTGTAGCAGCCACAATGTTATTTATCATCCCATAAAACAGTGCCTGTCTTGACTGGAGTAGCCTAAAGAAGCTTGCGAAGCTAACCAGCTATAGCTAGCTAGGCTAATTCCTGAGGCCACATGATGCGCTTTCTCCCCAACCCCATACAAATAAAACAGCCTACCTGTTGTAGCCTACTCCTTTATCATTTCGCTAACTTTTTAATTCCGTAATTTTATTCCATCTTGCATTGCATTGATTCTCTTTGCCACTTTAATTGGCCAACATAAACAAGCTACCCACATGAACTTCACCTTTATTTAACCAGGTAAGCCAATTGAGAACAAGTTCTCATTTACAACTGCGACCTGGCCAAGATAAAGCAAAGCAGTGCGATTTAAAAACAACAACACAGAATTACATATGGATAAAACAAAACGCACAGTCAATAACACAATAGAAAATCTATATACAGTGTGTGCAAATGTAGTAAGTTATGGAGGTTAGGCAATAAATAGGCCATAGTGCAAAATAATTACAATTTAGTATTAACACTGGAGTGATAGATGAAGGCTACTGTTTTTTATGGGGCGTCATAACCTTCTTCTTTTGAAATGTCATGGTATATCCTTGTATGTAACAATTATTTTAATGTAATTTAGCAAAATCATTTTCAGTGTTAAAATAGGTCTGTCAATTTTTTGAACCCGCACAAGTATTCGAATACTAACATCCGTTCGAATATTCAAATAACCTCCCGAGATTGTATAATTGATTCATTAATACATACATGGCTGTCTCTGAAATTAACATAAAACATTTCAAAATGAATCATATTGAACTCAAAAGATCTCCCTGGATCAAGTGCCATTCTGTAACTAATACGCCTTTCTTGTTTTGCCTTGGTATCGAGTATCGTAATGGTAAACCTGGTATCTGTGTCGAAGTAAAAATTCTGGTATTGTGACAACACTAGCAAGTTTACTTACTATTACTTATCAATTTTAGTGTACACTGTAAAGGGGAAGTTGCTGAAAGGAAGTTTCAAAACAGCCAGGAAATAACATATTCTGCAGTGCCAATGTTTACTCATGTAGCTACCATTTATACGCAACCTGCTGTTGTAATCTGACTACATGTGATTTCCTTTATCATAATCAGGCATAAAGTGCCTTCGGAAAGTATTCAGACCCCTTGACTTTTTCCACATTTTGTTATGTTAGTCTTATTCTAAAATGGATTAAATAAAAAATAAATCCCCAGCAATCTACACAAAAACAGGTTTATAGAAATGTTTGCAAGTGTATAAAAAAACCGGAAATATCTTATTTACATAAGTATTCAGACCCTTTGCTATGAGACTAGAAATTGAGCTCAGGTGCATCCTGTTTCTATTGATCATCCTTGAGATATTTCTACAACTTGATTGGACTCCACCTGTGTTACATTCAATTGATTGGACATGATTTGGAAAGGAGCACACACCTGTCTATATAATGTCCTACAATTGACAGTGCATGTCTGAGCAAAAACCAAGCCATGAGGTCGAAGGAATTGTCCGTAGAGTTCCGAGACAGGATTGTGTCGAGGCACAGATCTGGGGAAGGGTACCAAAACATTTATGCAGCATTGAAGGTCCCCAAGAACACAGTGGCATTCATCATTCCTAAATGGAAGAAGTTTGGAACCACCAAGACTCTTCCTAGAGCTGGCCGCCCGGCCAAACTGATCAATCGGGGGAGAAGGACCTTGGTCGGTGAGGTGACCAAGATCCCAATGGTCACTCTGACAGAGCTCCAGAGTTCCTCTGTGGAGATGGGAGAACCTTCCAGAAGGACAACCATCTCTGAAGCACTTCACCAATCAGGCCTTTATGGTAGAGTGGCCAGACGGAAGCAACTCCTCAGTAAAAGGTACATGACAGCCCGCTTGGAGTTTGCCAAAAGTCACCTAAAGGACTCTCAGACCATGAGAAACAAGATTCTCTGGTCTGATGAAACCAAGATTGAATTATTTGGCCTGAATGCCAAGCGTCACTTCTGGAGGAAACCTGGCACCATCCCTACGGTGAAGCATGGTGGTGGCAGCATCATGCTGTGGGGATGTTTTTCAGCGGCAGGGACAGGGAGACGAGTCAGGATCGAGGGAAAGATGAACGGAGCAAAGTACAGAGATCCTTGATGAAAATCTGCTCCAGAGCGCTCAGGACCTCCGACTGGGGTGAAGTTTCACCTTCCAACAGGACAACAACCCTAAGCACACAGCCAAGACAACGCAGGAGTGGCTTCGGGACAAGTCTCTGAATGTGCTTGAGGGGCCCAGCCAGAGCCCGGACTTGAACCCGATCGAACATCTCTGGAGAAACCTGAAAATAGCTGTGCCGCAACGCTCCCCATCCAACCTGACAGAGCGTGAGAGGATCTGCAGAGAAGAATGGGAGAAACTCCCCAAATACAGGTGTGCCAAGCTTGTAGCGTCATACCCAAGAAGACTTGAGGCTGTAATCGCTGCTAAAGGTGCTTCAACAAAGGACTGAGTAAAGGGTCTGAATACTTATGTAAATGTTATATTTCCAGGTAATTTTCTTTTAAAAAATCCCACATTTTCTAAAATCCGGTTTTTGCTTTGTCATTATGGGGTATTGTGTGTAGATTGATGAGGAAAAACAATGTAATCAATTTTAGAATAAGGCTGTAACCTAACAAAGTGGAAAAAGTCAAGGAGTCTGAATACTTTCCGAAGGCACTAAGTTGAACTCGCTAAATCTGAGGTAATGCCCTCCTGTAGCTCAGTTGGTAGAGCATGGTGCTTGCAACGCCAGGGTTGTGGGTTCGATTCCCACGGGGGGGCAGTATGAAAAATGTATGCACTCACTAACTAAGTCGCTCTGGATAAGAGCGTCTGCTAAATGACTAAAATGTAAAATATGTGACCATTTTGTCTGAGTTGCCTATGATGTACACCGCTTTCAGCGTAAGAGGGAGTTTCAAATTCCTACTCTTACTGCACTTTTTGCTCGTTGCAAATTCATGAAACTATAAACATGCTTTTGCTAACTAGCTTCTTAGCTAGGTGATATGCCAGATGAAAGACAATATATGCTTACCAGTAGCATATTAGCTGTGACTGGTTGACAGAATAGCCTACTTTTGTCACTTAATGAGAAACAGCTCTGGTTGTTTTTTTCTCAACCACGTCTGTGATAGTCCAGTTGTAACTGAGTGACATTAAAATTATTTTTATGATGGAACAACTTACAATCAATGCTTACGTTGAAAATGTGATTGTAGAGTCTAATCCCTTCCTCTCTTTTTCAGAATGTAACTTCCTCGCGGCCAACAATGCAATTCAAGGGACTCCAAGGGGTAAGTATGTTCACACCTCAATTCTTCATTTTGACTTGAGAGCTACAGTACTAGTTATGGGTCAACCCAGTGGGTGGTGAACTGAATATTGTAATGCAACCATTGTTGAAGACTTAAGCAACCTATCATTTGAGCGCTGGTGGTATACACATTAAATACAATTCCTACCCCAGTTGTTGTAGACCCAATGATTTGTGTTGGTTTCAGTGAAATGCACATTTGTTTCGCTACGAGTTGTATTTGGAGGCTTGTGGCCTAACTCTTGCCACCCATCTGTGAAAGCACCTGGTTAACCCATGACTACCTGAGCTGTGCACTATGAATAGTTGAACTCTCCAATGTCTCAATATCTATAAATACTTATCTGGCAGTCTGCAGCTGGGCCCAGAGCAGAGGGAACAGACACACAAACCCCTAGCAACTCAGACCTCTAAGATCTGCTTGTGTCATGCAAGCTCACATTCCCATTCGTCTCAGATCAGTCTATATTGACAGATGCAGCACACTGAACATCGCAAGCATTTTGCTACACTCACAATAACATCTGCTAACCATGTGTATGTGACCAATACATTTGATTGGATTTTTAAAGGGTTAATGAGAAATTAGACCTAGTTGAGAAGTGTTTTTACAGATGGTTCGCAATTTGGCATGACTGACTCTGTCACATTCAAATATGAGTAGAATCTCTGCTCCCCCGCCACCCAGGCGCTATAGCAGTAGAGGAAAATGAAATCCCATTTCCCTTCAGAATGATCGAGTACCTCAGGGCAATACCTCACTCCTGGCAGTTTCATGCATACAGGGAAGAGAGAGACACTCCTTGTTTTCTGTGGTTGATGAATTGTAATTTTTTTTATTAATTCGTTGATTGATCTCCTTTTGATGTGAACCTCACAGCGTATTAAGATCCCAAGGACTGATTCTCCAGATGGATCTCAGAACTTTGACTTCTACCTGTCCAACGTGGGCAAGGACAACCCTCAGGGAAGCTTTGAGTGCATCCAACAATATGTGTCCAGGTAAGCGCCCTCTGGAACGAAACCGAGCATGTAAATAGTTGTAAACTGGGTAGTTAACTGGAATAATTGTCACTCTGGTGTCAGAATTTGATGTCATTGAACCTTGTTAATGAGTAATTAGTTGAATTGAAATGGGTCCACGTTGAGAAACCCTGTGCTGTATGACTGAAATCTCCTCTTCCCATCCCACTACCCCCCTCCCTGTCCTCTCCAGTTCGGGGATCCCCCACCTTGCATCCTTGGGGATGGTTCAGGACAAAGTCACGGTGTGTGCCACCAACGACTCCTACCAGGTGACTCGGGAGCGCATGGCGCAGACAGAGGAGGACAGCCGCAAACAGGGGACCAAAGTCCTCAAGCCTGGAGGCCAGTTCAGAGGCAAGTTCCATGCACTTACCTACCCCCCCCCCCCTCCCCAACAGTAGTCTCTTCACAGGCCAGGTCCCACTACTACAAAATTGCTTATTTTTTCCTATCCTCCAGCCTTTGTTAACCACGGATTCTCTTAAGAACTAGCTTGGTCAAAATCAATGGAACTTTAAGCCCATGTTGCCATTGTTTGCGCCTGACTAAACCCTTTGGGTCCTTGGGTCCAGTCTATTAAGTCTTGTTCACATTGGCAGTTTGAAGTGACTCCAATTTTTTTGCATATCTGATTCAAATGTGTTATTTTTCCTGCAGTCTGAACAGCCAAAAAGCTCATGGAATCAGATATTTCAAGACACATTTCAAACCACATTCGTAGGTGGTTTGAAATCGGATACAAATCTGATTCCTGGCCATGCGACTTGTCTGAACGCATATAAATCAGATTTATGTGGTGTTTAGCTTACTTGGCATATATTGTTGCTTGCTAGCTACTCTGACAGTTTGACAAGAACATGTGGTAGTTAACTAGCTTGTTAATTGTTACAAACAAATTAGTGAATGTGCTATAAAGCTAATCAGCTACCTAGCTAGCTAGTTGACTGCTGTGGCTAGCCAAAAAGGACTCATTTTGAAAGCTAGCGTTAGCGCAATGACATGCTAGCTGTTCCCATAGACTTCCTGTCATTGAACGACTATCCATTTAAAAGTGCGTCTCGGCAGATGTAATTATATATAATTACATCTATCTCATTACATCATATTTTTTTTGCAGCGGTGGGAACAGTTCAGCAGCGGTGGGCCACCACTGCTAAATGAATATAGGGGAAACACTCACTTATGACTTGATACTGTCTGCCACCACAGCCATATCTGGGTTAGTCGCACTCTCCAAATAGTTCTTATTTAAAGACAACACTGGTCTACAGCCCAACTCTCTCCCAACACACCCACCCACAACAACACCTCTAAACCAATTGTCTTGCCTTTCTATTTCTAATACACTGCGACTGGATTAAGTTCGGCCAAGTGGAAAAGTGAAAGTAAATCTTGGGGTAATCTAATTTGGCCCACCGCTCTCCCGTCCCGTCTTGCCGGTGGAGATACGAGGGAAAAGGAGATTGAGAGAATGTGCAGCGTAACAGCTGTGTTGATGTAACTGGCCATGCCAAATCTACCTCCACTGACCTGGGAGTGGACTGAGTTCTCTCACAGCAGAGAGCCATAAACTGAGTTTCACTGGCAAAGAGTTTCTCTTCCGGCGCCATGCAACATCAGAGAATTGATGTCACCCAAATGGCCCGTTTGCCACCAGTTATGTTACTCTAAAAGGCTGTGTTCCCCATAGGCTTCTTTGTATGTGATTACAATTTTAGTGCCATGTGTTTTGCGCAATCATCTGACATGCCTGGATTTGAAACTTTTATTTAAAGATTTTTCATAAAACTGTCCCCTTTTCATTATGCCAGACGGTCCAGCACCATCCTCAGACAATTGCTTTCAATTTTGGTGTAATTCTCATTGCGCAAAACACAGCGTCTACAAGTTTGTCTAAACCGGCTTCACAGTTTAGACGATCGTATAGTAACGATCGTGGCGGGGGAGATGTTCAGGTCCATGGTTTCCCATAGAAATAGAGTTCCAATTCTCTACATGAATTGGTGTTGTTGTCTATTTAACATGGAATTCATTGGGGTTGCATGTTTTCTCAACAGTAAGCAGATTTGTATCTTTGCTGGGAGGTTTTTTTTTACCCCTAGGGCTGCTCTGGAACTATAGTTAATGTGGCAATATGTAACTTTTTGGGTGACTTGACCAAATTCACATTGAAATGTGTGTTATAAATCTGTCATTCTCATTGAAAGCAAGTCTAAGAAGTGGTAGATCTGTTCTAAGTGCGCTATTTCTATGCTTCCCATTCTCAAGTTTAGTTTTTGCATCTTTTACTTTCGGTTTTGTACACCAGCTTCAAACAGCTGAAAGTACAATATTTTAGCTTATGGAAAATGTATTTCACAGCAGTTTAGATGGTACAATGATTCTCTACACTATACTTGCTTGTTTTTTCACAAACTGAAATTAGGCGAACTATTAGAATTTTAGCCAGGAAATGGCGGAGCGATTTCTGCATAGTGCATCTTTAAATGCAGGAATCCATGAAATCTGCTTTGCTACTCTTGTCTCAGAACTCTCACCCACTCACAAACTTGTAAAGTCAGGTAAACCAACCCTCTTTCGGTCTAGTTTCTGCCGTGGGGATTCATTTGCATATTGTGGCCCAGATGGAAACTGAGAGGGGAGCAGAGGAAAGGAGTGGAGTTTGGGCATGTTACAGCTGGCTCAGTAGAAGCGCTCCGATTAACATGTGCAAAATGAGCCCTAACCTTCATTTATGTAGTTTGTTTAGGCTATGTCAGTTAGGTATGTCGGTCTGGGACCTTAAATGGGAGACCATTTACTTGATGCCATTCAGAGTTTAGTACGCTAAAGTGAATGCATAAACACACATGCACTGCTACACAACACAGCTACGTCTGTTGGTTTGCTATCAGAATGACAGTTTCTGCCATGACATGCATCAAATCAAATTCTATTGGTCACATTGTTGTGAATTGTTAGATACTATTGCACTGTTGGAGCTAGGAACACAAGCATTTCGCTACACCTGCAATTACATCTGCTAAATATATGTATGAGACCAATAACATTTGATATGATGCATGTCATGGCAGAAACGATCATTCTGATAGCAAACCAACAGACGTAGCTGTGTTGTGTAGCATGGCTGTGCTTTATCTCCCACTGTAAGTCTGGCATATAAAGTCACTAGGCTGGCCAGCGCTGAAGGCAAAGCTCATTAGCAGCTGACGCAAGCAACTCGCCTACCTCAGTCTCTCACCAGGCCGTGAGACAGCAAAAATGTATGTGTGGTTTGTGCGCTTAGAGATCTCTCGCAGTCTATCAGCATTTGCCCAGACGAGGGTACAAGTTTCTCTCTGACCTTAATCTTGTAGAGAGCTTTAAAATGTCATAATCGCTGGAGAGCAGTATGGAGAGATGTCAAGGCATCCTGACTAATCAGATGACTTATGAGCTGGGGGCCAGATTCTCTGGATCCTCTTAATTACATAGACTTTTACATTGGGAACTCAGTCTCTCCAAATCAGGCATCTATGATACATCTTGTACTAGTAGCATACAATCAGTTCAAATTCAGTCCACATACAGTTCCGAACACAAAATAGTTGTGTAACAACTTTGACTCTTAAGGGCAGGGTCCCCCAACGGGCGGTCCCCGGGCAGAATTTGGCCCGTAGGTGGTTTTTATTTGGCCCAACAACAACTCGGAGCATTAAAACAAATATTTTTTCATTGTTTGACATAAGACTGTAAAAACACCAGGAAATCATCTCCAAGTGATTTTTAATTTTGGAAATCTGTTCACCAGTATTCCCATCATAATAGGGAGACACATGATCTTATACAAATGTAAGAGCTGTTGCCAGAGAATTACCTAACTCTTCCAATGTTGTTTTAGAGAATTTGGCAGAACGAACACAATTGCATTTTATCGATTGCAATTTGATTACCATGACGAGATCCTGAGGCCCATTGTCGTACCATTCATCTGCCGCCATCACCTCATGTTTTAGCATGATAATGCACGGCCCTATGTCGCAAGGATCTGTACACAATTCCTGGAAGCTGAAAATGTCCCAGTTCTTCCATGGCCTGCATACTCACCAGACGTGTCACCCATTGAGCATGTTTGGGATTCTCTGGATCGACCTGTGTGACAGCGTGTTCCAATTGCCGCCAATATCCAGCAACTTTGCACAGCCATTGAAGAGCAGGCCAAAATCAACAGCCTGATCAACTGTATGCGAAGGAGATGTCGCACTGCATGAGGCAAATGGTGGTCACACCAGATACTGACTGTTTTTGGGATCCACGCCCCTACTTTTTTTTGAAGGTATCTGTGACCAACAGATGCATATCTGTATTCCCAGTCATGTGAAATCCATAGATTAGGGCCTAATGAATTTTTCAATTGACAGATTTTCCTTATATGAACTGTAACTCAGTAAAATCTTTGAGATTGTTGTATTTATATTTTTGTTCAGTGTATATCTGTTTGGACTTCTTGCGTTCAATTTGACAGACCATCCGCTGAAGAAAAAATCTGCCCGCTGCTGAATCTAGTTGATTATCCCTGCTCTAGGGTTCCAAGTGCCTGCTGGCTTTCGTACTCATCTTTCAGCCAGTGTCCAATAACCCTATTATATTATTATGCTGTCATATTAATAATAAAACGTTTTATTGTAGGATTGACAGCAAGCAATTTAGCCGCTAGTTAGCGAGTTAGACGCTAGTTAGTGACTAAGATGCTAGTTAGCGAGGAGTGCCGTTTCTGCTGTAAACTCAATTCTGAGGTAAGCAATACAACATTTAACTGATTTCATTTAAGTATCAGGGAAACAAATGATCAACTAAATGGATTGTGGAATTCGTAGGTTCCATAATTCCATGGTCTCAACGGAGATTGGGTTTGGGCAGATTTTGTGTCATTTTCTCAGCGTCACCTCCTTCGCCCCTCTCTAACCTCAGGTAAGAAAGTCCAGATCCGCAAGCCAGCACCGTCAGGCTCTGAACCAGTCGCGGAGCGCAAACGCTCCACCCCTATCAACCCAGCCAACACCATCCGCAAGTGCCTTGCCAACAACCCGGTTTCCCAGCGCCCGTACCGCGACCGCTTGGTCCACCTGCTGGCGTTGCGCACCTACAAGAAGCTGGAGCTACTGGCCAGACTGCAGCGGGATGGGGTCAGTCAGAAGGACCGCAGCTCTCTGGGGAGCACTCTGCAACAAGTAAGGCTAGCACTCTGCAACAAGTAAGGCTAGCACTCTGCAACAAGTAAGGCTAGCACTCTGCAACAAGTAAGGCTAGCACTCTGCAACAAGTAAGGCTAGCACTCTGCAACAAGTAAGGCTAGCACTCTGCAACAAGTAAGGCTAGCGCTCTGCAACAAGTAAGGCTAGCGCTCTGCAACAAGTAAGGCTAGCGCTCTGCAACAAGTAAGGCTAGCGCTCTGCAACAAGTATGGCTAGCGCTCTGCAACAAGTAAGGCTAGCGCCCTGCAACAAGTAAGGATAAGGCTAGCACCCTGCAACAAGTAAGGATAAGGCTAGCACCCTGCAACAAGTAAGGATAAAAGCCAATTTATGCTTGATCCAAAAATGTGGTTGGATGCGCCGTATAGAGGGTGTGACGCAATTGCGGCGCCTCTGGAGACATGCAGATGCCAACATGCAGATGACATGCAGATGCCTCCGTACTGCATCGCCGTGCGCCTTCCAAATTTTGTAACAATGCGGAGGGCTCAGTATAGCTCTACATTGACATGATTGGTTGACGGTAGGTGGGGGCGGGAGGTTCTGAATAATCAAACTCACTTCCTTGACAACTTCCTTCACAACTGCTCTGTGAAGCGCAATAAGTATGAATGCCCTGACTTCTGCAGAGGCCATATCGCAGCAAATGCTGTACGGCCACTGCAGATGTCGGATTGACCATGCAAAGCCTTTGAGGCTAGCACCCCTGCAACAAGTAGGAGGAGGCTAGCACCCTGCAACAAGTAAGGAGGAGGCTAGCACCCTGCAACAAGTAAGGAGGAGGCTAGCACCCTGCAACAAGTAAGGAGGAGGCAAAACATGTATACCAGCGGTTGTATTTGAATTGCTTTTAATGCTCCCAAATTATTGGACAACACTTTTTTTCAACTGGAAGGACTACAAAATTAGACACTGCTGATCTTGTTTGTGTGTATGTTTGTCGTCAGGTGGCCAACTTGAACCCCAAAGATAACTCGTACTCTCTGAAGGACTTTGTGTACCGTGAGGTGCAGAGGGACTGGCCGGGCTACTCTGAGGACGACCGCGTTCAGGTCAACGGGATTCTGGCCCGGTAGGTCACAATACATTTTTATCTGAAAGTTTCACCCTCCTGAACAGATCCCTGCATTTCTTGCAAGCGGAACCTCATGGTGACGGAGTTGCAGTGGCTCACAGTTGGTTCTCCCTCTTGTCTCCCCTCTCTCTCAGGAAACTGGGCCTTCCCACTGAGACACTTTCCTCCAGCAGTCCTCCCAAAGATGGCCTCCCGAGCTCCCCACAGGTAACGCCTCAACTGTACACTCTGTTACACACTCACTTTCAGTATTACTTGCACTACTTGCACAAACCAGCGTGGAAGCTAACAGACAAGCCACACCTGATGACCAGGTCTCTCCTGTAAAGAGACATTTAATCTCAAACCTATGCAAATAAATATTTACTAAGATTAAAAATAGCCTTTTTATTACTCATTCACCATAGATATTTGTGTTTGAATTGTTTGGTTGTGGTCTTTCAGAAGTGCCAGCCCGAGTTGCCGAGTCACTTCACCGACCCCCTGATGCCCAAGAAGCCCCGCATCTCCCATGTCACCAACCAAGGGCCACCTGCCGCCCCCACCTTGTCTTCTAGAGATCGCTGCAGCGCCACGAAGGGGGATGACAGCCACCACAGCGCCGCTGCCACCAAACGCTTGTCTCTCCCAGCCAGGCTCACCATTGCTGGCCCTCCCCTCAACCACCTCCCCCCTCCCTCCCAGCTGCCCGTTTCTCACCGCCCTCCTCCGTCGCATCACCCCGGCCCGGGCTCCAACTCACCCAGCACGCCTGAGGGCCGTGGCACCCAGGACCTGCCCCTTGACCAGAGCTCCACCTGCCTGGACCCCTCCTCACCGAAAGCCACCCCCAGCCCCTCGGGCAGGACTGCCGACCACTATGGCATGCCGCCACCGGCCAGCTCCAGTCCCCACAGCCGCCCAGCCCTCACCATCTCCACCATCTCCTCTTCATCATCCTCCTCCTCCTCCACCATTATCCCCCCTCCCTTGCCCAGCAGTAGCAAGAAGTCAAAGAAAAAGTCAAAGAAGCACAAAGAGAAGGACAGAGAGAAGGAGAGGTGCAGGGAGGGGCGCAGCATCACATGCGATGGCAGTGGTGTCAGGCCCCCAGCGGTGCAGGTTGAGGACGGCCAGAGGCCCAGGAAGAGACACCGGGCCAAGGGGGAGGAAAGACTAACACCAGTCATCCCCGCCAAAAGCCCAGTCTGCTCGGACGAAGGTAGTCTCCCTTAATGTCTTGGTTCGGCTTCATGCTTGAAAGGTGTGAGAATGCTTGCTCATTAGCGTGCAAGGCCTGATTCCTTAGTCTAGTTTTCAAGTAACGGTCGCTTTCAAAGCTCAGAAACGGATCAGTCAAAAGCACTGCCAATCCATGGTTTTGTAATGACAGCGATGCACTACTACTGCATTGAACAACCAGGCATTGACAGGCACATTAAAAGTGCGCTGATAGTGTGACTGCTTGGAAAGGGCAAAGTGTATTCATGCTTTGAACGTGATGGGCTGCTTGCATTGCCTTGTATGTTGGAGTACATTTCTCACTGCAGTTGTATGTATGTAGGCTACCATATGTGCCAATTCTGAGATACGTTGTCTTTATGATAAGTAAAAGTTGGTCCGCCCTGAGCAGCACACAGTTCCATTTTACTCTCTTGGTTCACTCTGACAACTGTTTCAAGACCAGTACTTTTGTATAGCTCATTTACATTTACATTGCATTTTAGTCATTTAGCAGGCGTTCTTATCCAGAGCGATTTTACAGTTTATTTTAAGATGGGTGGGACAACCACGTCAGTCATAGTAAATACATTTTTCCTCAAAGTAGCTTTCAGCAAATTTAGAGCTAATAAGAGGGGAAAGAGTCAAGTGTTAGTTCAGTGTGTGGGGAGGCGGTGCGAGGGGGGGGTGCTGTGGGATTATTTTAAGACTAGTAAAGAGATGTTCTAATGTCAGTTGGTGATGTAAAATAATTGTCAGACGTGTGTCTTTGCTATTCCCCAGACACTAAAGAGAGGCCAGTCCACTCCACAGACCTCTCCTCCACCACCGTGATGCCAGATTACATATGGTGAGTACTTTATTTACTGACTTAATCCTTCCATGAGAGTGCCACTACTGCCAATCATCAGCCTTTTTGGGCATGGTACCCCCTTTTAGCCCTCTCAAATACAATTTAATGGCACGGTGTGAATGTTTCCTGGTCACTGTCCTGTGCTGGCCTGTGCTGCTGTCCCCCTACAGTGAGTACATGGCAGTGGTGTCCATGGACCAGAGGCAGATTTACAAGGACAACTTCAACGCCGAGTATGAGGAGTACCGCGTCCTGCATGCCCGCGTGGAGAAGATCACTCGCCGCTTCACCCAGCTAGACGCCCAGTGCAGGAGGCTGCCGCCTGGCACCAAAGAGTACCAGGTCAGATTATAACAAACTACACCACAGAACACCAGGTCAAAATACAAGACTCACCACAGTTACAACCAGGTCAAAACACAACAATCTATGCCACATAACGTGAGGATATACTACAAAGCCGGTTTAATGAGTTAGCCAGCTAATTTCAATAAACAACCAGAAATAACTATTGATTTTCTGGTTCATTAAGAAAGCTAAACTTGGATACAGTGCCTGGATATCTGAGCATGTCTTTCTCCAAACTGATACGGTGCCATCAGAAAGTATTCATACCCCTTGATTTATTCCACATTTTGATGTTACAGCCTGAATTCAAAATGGATTACATTTGTTTTTTCTCTCACCAATCTACATACAATACCCCATAATGACAAAGTGAACACATGTTTTTAGAAAATGTGTAAATGTAATGAAAATTAAATATAGAAATACACTACATGACCAAAAGTATGTGGACACCTGCTCGTAGAACATCTCATTCCAAAATCATGGATATTAATATGGAGTTGGTCCCCCCTTTTGCTGCTATAACAGCCTCCACTCTTCTGGGAAGGCTTTCCACTAGATGTTGGAACATTGCTGCGAGCACTGATGTAGGGCGATTAGGCCTGGCTTGCAGTCGTGTTCCAATTCATCCCAAAGGTGTTATATGGGGTTGAGGTCAGGGCTCTGTGCAGGCTAGTCAAGTTCTTGTTGGCTGGTCCTCACTACATGTTCGTCGTCAAACCCACTGGCTCCAGGCCATCTATAAATCACTGCTAGGCAAATCCCTGCCTTATCTTAGCTCATTGGTCACCATAGCAGCACCCACCCGTAGTCTGCGCTCCAGCAGGTATATCTCACTGGTCATTCCCAAAGCCAACACCTCCTTTGGCCGCCATTCCTTCCAGTTCTCTGCTGCCAATGACTGGAACGAATTGCAAAAATCTCTGAAGCTGGAGACTCTTATCTCCCTCAATAACATTAAGCATCAGTTGTCAGAGCACCTTACCGATCACTGCACCTGTACACAGCCCATCTGAAATTAGCCCACCCAACTACCTCATCCCTATATTGTTATTTATTTTGCCCTTTTGCACCCCAGTATCTCTATTTGCACATAATCTCTTGCACATCTAGCATTCCAGTGTTAATACTATTGTAATTATTCTGCACTATAGCCTATTTATTGCCTTACCTCCATAACTTGCTACATTTGCACACACTGTATATATATTTTCTGTTGTATTTCTGACTTTGTTTTTTACCCCATATGTAACTCTGTGTTTTTATTGCACTACTTTGCTTTATCTTGGCCAGGTCGCAGTTGTAAATGAGAACCTGTTCTCAACTGGCTTACCTGGTTAAATAAAGGTAAAAAAAAATAAAAAGTTCTTCCACACCAATCTCGACAAACCATTTCTGTATGGACCTCGCTTTGTGCACGGCGGCATTGTCATGCTGAAACAGGAAAGGGCCTTTCCCAAACTGTTGCCACAAAGTTGGAAGCACAGAATCGTCTAGAATGTAATTGTATGCTTGCTGTAGTGTTAAGATTTCCCTTCACTGGAACTAAGGGGCCTAGCCCAAACCATGAAAAACAGCCCCAGACCATTATTCCTCCTCCACCAAACTTTACAGTTGGCACTATGCATTCGGGCATGTAGCGTTCTCCTGGCATCTGCCAAACCAGATTCATCCGTCGGACTCCCATATGATGAAGCATGATTCATCACTCCAGAGAATGCATTTCCACTGCTCCAGAGTCCAATGGTGGCGAGCTTTTACACCACTCCAGCGACACTTGGTATTGGGCATGGTGATGTTAGGCTTGTGTGCGGCTGCTCAGCCATGGAAACCCATTTCATTATGCTCCTGACGAACAGTTGTTGTGCTGACATTGCTTCCAGAGGCAGTTTGGAACTCCTGTAGTGAGTGTTGCAACCAAGAACAGACGATTTTTATGCGCTTCAGCACTCAGTGGTCCTGTTCTGTGAGCTTGTGTGGCCTACCACTTTGCCGCTGAGCCGTTGTTGCTCCTAGATGTGTCCACTTCACAACAACAGCACTTAGTTGACCGGGGCAGCTCAAGCAGGGCAGAAATTTGATGAACTGACTTGTTGGAAAGGTGAGATCCTATGCTGCCCTATCAAGCAAAAAGGCAGTAACTGCTCATTTGGTCGAAAAATGAGTTGTCATTTTTGCTACAATAAATACATGCTTAATCATGTGGACAAGTATCCTGCCTCTATTGTGTTTTGGAGAAAATGGGGGTCATGTTAACAGTAACTGCAGAAGGTTACTGTGAAACCAAGGTAAATAAAAGCACTTTTTCTCAGTTCCACGCTATGAGCAGTTACTGCCTTTTTGCTTTGTAGGGCAGAATGATGGTGCCATGTTGAAAGTCACTGAGCTCTTCAGTAAGGCCATTCTACTGCTGTTTGTCTATGGAAATTGCATGGTTTTATACACATGTCAGCAACAGGTGTGACTGAAATAGCCGAATCCACTCATTTGAAATGTTGTCCACATACTTTTGTATGTGTATTTGTATGTATTGTGTATTTGTATATATTGTGTATGTGTGTGTATATATGTATTTGAATGTGTGTGTATATTATATTATATATATATATATATATTGCTCAAAAACACTTAAACAACACAATGTAACTCCAAGTCAATCACACTTCTGTGAAATAAAACTGTCCACTTAGGAAGCAACACTGATTGACAATACATTTCACATGCTGTTGTTCAAATGGAATAGACAACAGGTGGAAATTATAGGCAATTAGCAAGACACCCCCAATAAAGGACTGGTTTTGCAGGTGGTGACCACAGACCACTTCTCAGTTCCTATGCTTCCTGGCTGATGTTTTGGTCACTTTTGAATGCTGGCGGTGCTTTCACTCTAGTGGTAGCATGAGACGGAGTCTACAACCCACACAAGTGGCTCAGGTAGTGCAGCTCATCCAGGATGGAACATCAATGCGAGCTGTGGCAAGAAGGTTTGCTGTGTCTGTCAGCGTAGTGTCCAGAGCATGGAGGTGCTACCAGGAGACAGGCCAGTACATCAGGAGACGTGGAGGAGGCCGTAGGAGGGTAACAACCCAGCAGCAGGACTGCTACCTCCGCCTTTGTGCAAGGAGGAGCAGGAGGAGCACTGCCAGAGCCCTGCAAAATGACCTCCAGCAGGCCACAAATGTGCATGTGTCTGCTCAAACGGTCAGAAACAGACTCCATGAGGGTGGTATGAGGGCCCGACGTCCACAGGTGGGGGTTGTGCTTACAGCCCAACACCGTGCAGGACATTTGGCATTTGCCAGAGAACACCAAGATTGGCAAATTCGCCACTGGCACCCTGTGCTCTTCACAGATGAAAGCAGGTTCACACTGAGCACATGTGACAGACGTGACAGTCTGGAGACGCCGTGGAGAACGTTCTGCTGCCTGCAACATCCTCCAGCATGACCGGTTTGGCGGTGGGTCAGTCATGGTGTGGGGTGGCATTTCTTTGGGGAGCCGCACAGCCCTCCATGTGCTCGCCAGAGGTAGCCTGACTGCCGTTAGGTACCGAGATGAGATCCTCAGACCCCTTGTGAGACCATATGCTGGTGCGGTTGGCCCTGGGTTCCTCCTAATGCAAGACAATGCTAGACCTCATGTGGCTGGAGTGTGTCAGCAGTTCCTGCAAGAGGAAGGCATTGATGCTATGGACTGGCCCGCCCGTTCCCCAGACCTGAATCCAATTGAGCACATCTGGGACATCATGTCTCGCTCCATCCACCAACGCCACGTTGCACCACAGACTATCCAGGAGTTGGCGGATGCTTTAGTCCAGGTCTGGGAGGAGATCCCTCAGGAGACCATCCGCCACCTCATCAGGAGCATGCCCAGGCGTTGTAGGGAGGTCATATAGGCACGTGGAGGCCACACACACTACTGAGCCTCATTTTGACTTGTTTTAAGGACATTACATCAAAGTTGGATCAGCCTGTAGTGTGGTTTTCCACTTTAATTTTGAGGGTGACTCCAAATCCAGACCTCCATGGGTTGATAAATTTGATTTCCATTGATAATTTTTGTGTGATTTTGTTATCAACACATTCAACTATGTAAAGAAAAAAGTATTTAATAAGATTATTTCATTCATTCAGATCTAGGATGTGTTATTTTAGTGTTCCCTTTATTTTTTTGAGCTATATATATACAGTGGGGAGAACAAGTATTTGATACACTGCCGAATTTGCAGGTTTTCCTACTTACAAAGCATGTAGAGGTCTGTAATTTTTATCATAGGTACACTTCAACCGTGAGAGACGGAATCTAAAACAAAAATCCAGAAAATCACATTGTATGATTTTTAAGTAATTAATTTGCATTTTATTTTATGACATAAGTATTTGATACATCAGAAAAGCAGAACTTAATATTTGGTACAGAAACCTTTGTTTGCAATTACAGAGATCATACGTTTCCTGTAGGTCTTGACCAGGTTTGCACACACTACAGCAGGGATTTTGGCCCACTCCTCCATACAGACCTTCTCCAGATCCTTCAGGTTTCGGGGCTGTCGCTGGGCAATACAGACTTTCAGCTCCCTCCAAAGATGTTCTATTGGGTTCAGGTCTGGAGACTGGCTAGGCCACTCCAGGACCTTGAGATGCTTCTTACGGAGCCACTCCTTAGTTGCCCTGGCTGTGTGTTTCGGGTCGTTGTCATGCTGGAAGACCCAGCCACGACCCATCTTCAATGCTCTTACTGAGGGAAGGAGGTTGTTGGCCAAGATCTCGCGATACATGGCCCCATCCATCCTCCCCTCAATACGGTGCAGTCGTCCTGTCCCCTTTGCAGAAAAGCATCCCCAAAGAATGATGTTTCCACCTCCATGCTTCACAGTTGGGATGGTGTTCTTGGGGTTGTACTCATCCTTATTTTTCCTCCAAACACGGCGAGTGGAGTTTAGACCAAAAAGCTCTATTTTTGTTTCATCAGACCACATGACCTTCTCCCATTCCTCCTCTGGATCATCCAGATGGTCATTGGCAAACTTCAGACGGGCCTGGACATGCGCTGGCTTGAGCAAGGGGACCTTGCGTGCGCTGCAGGATTTTAATCCATGACGGCGTAGTGTGTTACTAATGGTTTTCTTTGAGACTGTGATCCCAGCTCTCTTCAGGTCATTGACCAGGTCCTGCCGTGTAGTTCTGGCCTGATCCCTCACCTTCCTCATGATCATTGATGCCCCACGAGGTGAGATCTTGCATGGAGCCCCAGACCGAGGGTGATTGACCGTCATCTTGAACTTCTTCCATTTTCTAATAATTGCGCCAACAGTTGTTGCCTTCTCACCAAGCTGCTTGCCTATTGTCCTGTAGCCCATCCCAGCCTTGTGCAGGTCTACCATTTTATCCCTGATGTCCTTACACAGCTCTCTGGTCTTGGCCATTGTGGAGAGGTTGGAGTCTGTTTGATTGAGTGTGTGGACAGGTGTCTTTTATACAGGTAACGAGTTCAAACAGGTGCAGTTAATACAGGTAATGAGTGGAGAACAGGAGGGCTTCTTAAAGAAAAACTAACAGGTCTGTGAGAGCCGGAATTCTTACTGGTTGGTAGGTGATCAAATACTTATGTCATGCAATAAAATGCAAATTAATTACTTAAAAATCATACAATGTGATTTCCTGGATCTTTGCTTTGTAAGTAGGAAAACCTGCAAAATCGGCAGTGTATCAAATACTTGTTCTCCCCACTGTACACACACACACGCGCACACTACTGTTCAAAAGTTTGGGGTCAATTAGAAATGTCCTTTTTTGAAAGAAAAGCACTTTTGTCCATTTTTAAAATAACATCAAATTGATCAGAAATACAGTGTAGACATTGTTAATGTTGTAAATGGCTATTGTAGCTGGAAACGGCTGATTCTTAATGGAATATCTACATAGGCGTACAGAGGCCCATTATCAGCAACCATCAGTCCTGTGTTCCAAAGGCACGTTGTGTTTGCTAATCCAAGTTTATCATTTTAAAAGGCTAATTCATCATTAGAAAACTATTTTGCAATTATGTTAGCACAACAATTTCCAGCTGTGCTGATTTAAAGAAGCAATAAAACTGGCCTTCTTGAGACTAGTTGAGTATCTGGAGCATCAGCAAGTGTGGGTTCGATTACAGGCTCAAAATGGCCAGAAACAAATGACTTTCTTCTGAAACTTGTCAGTCTATTCTTGTTCTGAGAAATGAAGGCTATTCCATGCGAGAAATTGCCAAGAAACTGAAGATCTCGTACAACGCTGTGTACTACTCCCTTCACAGAACAGTGCAAACTGGCTCTAACCAGAATAGAAACCGGTGCACAACTGAGCAAGAGGACAAATACAGTAGTGTCTAGTTTGAGAAACAGACGCCTCACAGGTCCTCAACTGGCAGCTTCATTAAATAGTACCTGCAAAACACCAGTCTCAACATCAACAATGAAGAGAAAAGATTAAGATGGGCAGTCTGAGATATGGCATTTCTTTTGCAACTCTGTCTAGAAGGTCAGCATCCCGGAGTCGCCCTTCACTGTTGACGTTGAGACTGATGTTTTGCGTGTACTATTAAATCTTCAGTTTCTTGGCAATTTCTCACATGGAATAGCCTTAATTTCTCAGAACAAGAATAGACTGATGAGTTTCAGAAGAAAGATATTTGTTTCTGGCCATTTTGAGCCTGTAATCGAACCCACAATTGCTGATGCTCCAGATATTCAACTAGTCTCAAGAAGGCCAGTTTTATTGCTTCTTTAATCAGCACAGCTGAAAATTGTTGTGCTAACATAATTGCAAAATATTTTTCTAATGATCAATTAGCCTTTTAAAATGATAAACTTGGATTAGCAAACACAACGTGCCATTGGAACACAGGACTGATGGTTGCTGATAATGGGCCTCTGTACGCCTATGTAGATATTCCATAAAAAATCAGCAGTTTCCAGCTACAATAGCCATTTACAACATTAACAATGTCTACACTGTATTTCTGATCAATTTGATGTTATTTTAATGGACAAAAAAATTGCTTTTCTTTCGAAAACAAGGACATTTCTAAGTGACCCCAAACTTTTGAACAGTAGTGTGTGTGTGTGTGTGTGTGAGAGAGAGAGATAGATATATGCGCGTGTGTGTGTAAATACCGTGGCTTGCGAAATTATTCACCCCCCTTGGCATTTTTCCTATTTTGTTGCCTTACAACCTGGAATTAAAATTGATTTTTGGTGGGTTTGTATCATTTGATTTACACAACATGCCTACCACTTTGAAGATGCAAAATATTTTTTCTTGTGAAACAAACAAGAAATAAGACAAAAAATGTGAACTTGAGCATGCATACAGTGGGGGAAAAAAGTATTTAGTCAGCCACCAATTGTGCAAGTTCTCCCACTTAAAAAGATGAGAGAGGCCTGTAATTTTCATCATAGGTACACGTCAACTACGACAGACAAATTGAGAGAAAAAAAATCCAGAAAATCACATTGTAGGACTTTTAATGAATTTATTTGCAAATTATGGTGGAAAATAAGTATTTGGTCACCTACAAACAAGCAAGATTTCTGGCTCTCACAGACCTGTAACTTCTTATTTAAGAGGCTCCTCTGTCCTCCACTCATTACCTGTATTAATGGCACCTGTTTGAACTTGTTATCAGTATAAAAGACACCTGTCCACAACCTCAAACAGTCACACTCCAAACTCCACTATAGCCATGACCAAATAGCTGTCAAAGGACACCAGAAACAAAATTCTAGACCTGCACCAGGCTGGGAAGACTGAATCTGCAATAGGTAAGCAGCTTGGTTTGAAGAAATCAACTGTGGGAGCAATAATTAGGAAATGGAAGACATACAAGACCACTGATAATCTCCCTCTATCTGGGGCTCCACGCAAGATCTCATCCCGTGGGGTCAAAATGATCACAAAAACGGTGAGCAAAAATCCCAGAACCACACGGGGGGACCTAGTGAATGACCTGCAGAGAGCTGGGACCAAAGTAACAAAGCCTACCATCAGTAACACACTACGCCGCCAGGGACTCAAATCCTGCATTGCCAGATGTGTCCCCCTGCTTAAGCCAGTACATGTCCAGGCCCGTCTGAAGTTTGCTAGAGTGCATTTGGATGATCCAGAAGAGGATTGGGAGAATGTCATATGGTCAAAATATAACTTTTTGGTAAAAACTCAACTCGTCTTGTTTGGAGGACAAAGAATGCTGAGTTGCATCCAAAGAACACCATACCTACTGTGAAGCATGGGGGTGGAAACAACATGCTTTGGGGCTGTTTTTCTGCAAAGGGACCAGGACGACTGATCCGTGTAAAGGAAAGAATGAATGGGGCCATGTATTGTGAGATTTTGAGTGAAAACCTCCTTCCATCAGCAAGGGCATTGAAGATGAAACGTGGCTGGGTCTTTCAGCATGACAATGATCCCAAACACACCGCCCGGGCAACGAAGGAGTGGCTTCGTAAGAAGCATTTCAAGGTCCTGGAGTGGCTTAGCCAGTCTCCAGATCTCAACCCCATAAAAAATCTTTGGAGGGAGTTGAAAGTCCGTGTTGCCCAGCGACAGCCCCAAAACATCACTGCTCTAGAGGAGATCTGCATGGAGGAATGGGCCAAAATACCAGCAACATTGTGTGAAAAACCTTGTGAAGACTTACAGAAAACGTTTGACCTGTGTCATTGCCAACAAAGGGTATATAACAAAGTATTGAGAAACTTTTGTTATTGACCAAATACTTATTTTCCACCATAATTTGCAAATAAATTCATTAAAAAATCCTACAATGTGATTTTCCCGGATTTTTTTTCCTCATTTTGTCTGTCATAGTTGACGTGTACCTATGATGAAAATTACAGGCCTCTCTCATCTTTTTAAGTGGGAGAACTTGCACAATTGGTGGCTGACTAAATACTTTTTTTCCCCACTGTAACTATTCACCCCCCAAAGTCAATACTTTGTAGAGCTACCTTTTGCAGCAATTACAGCTTCAAGTCTCTTGGGGTATGTCTCTATAAGCTTGGCACATCTAGCCACTGGGATTTTTGCCCATTCTTCAAGGCAAAACTGCTCCAGCTCCTTCAAGTTGGATGGGTTCCGCTGGTGTACAGTAATCTTTATGTCATACCACAGATTCTCAACTGGATTGAGGTCTGGGCTTTGACTAGGCCATTCCAAGACATTTAAATGTTTCCCCTTAAACCACTCGAGGTTGCTTTAGCAGTATGCTTAGGGTCATTGTCCTGCTGGTAGGTGAACCTCCGTCCCAGTCTCAAATCTCTGGAAGACTGAAACAGGTTTCCCTCAAGAATTTCCCTGTATTTAGCGCCATCCATCATTCCTTCAATTCTGACCAGTTTCCCAGTGCCTGCTGATGGAAAAACATCCCCACAGCATGATGCTGCCACCACCATGCTTCACTGTGGGGATGGTGTTTTCGGGGTGATGAGAGGTGTTGGGTTTGCGCCAGACATAGTGTTTTGCTTGATGGCCAAAAAGCTAAATTTTAGTCTCACCTGGCCTGAGTACCTTCTTCCATATGGCTTTTGGCGAACACCAAACGTGTTTGCTTATTTTTTTCTTTAAGCAATGGCTTTTTTCTGGCAACTTCCGTATAGCCCAGCTCTGTGGAGGGTACGGCTTAAAGTGGTCCTATGGACAGATACTCCAAACTACGCTGTGGAGCTTTGCAGCTCCTTCAGGGTTATCTTTGGTCTCTTTGTTGCGTCTCTGATTAATACCCTCCTTGCCTGGTCCGTGAGTTTGGTGGGCGGCCCTCTCTTGGCAGGTTTGTTGTGGTGCCATATTCTTTCCATTATTTAATAATGGATTTAATGGTGCTCCGTGGGATGTTCAAAGTTTCAGATTTTTTTTTATAACCCAACCCTGATCTGTACTTCTCCACAACTTTGTCCCTGACCTGTTTGGAGAGCTCCTTGGTCTTCATGGTGTCGCTTGCTTGGTGGTGCCCCTTGCTTAGTGGTGTTGCAGACTCTGGGGCCTTTCAGAACAGGTGTTAATATACTGAGATCATGTGACAGATCATGTGACACTGAGATTGCACACAGGTGGACTTTAACTAATTATGTGACTTCTGAAGGTAATTGGTTGCACCAGATCTTATTTAGGGGCTTCATAGCAAAGAGGGTAAATACATATGCACGCGCCACTTTTCCGTTATTTATTGAATGATTTTTTTAAAAAGTTATTTTTTTTCATTTCACTTCACCAATTTGGACTATTTTGTGTATGTCCATTACATGAAATCCAAATAAAAATCAATTTCAAGTACAGGTTGTAATGCAACAAAATAGGAAATACTTTGTAGAAGCTCCTTTGGCGGTGATTACAGCTTTGACTCGTCTTGTGCAAAGCTGATACAGACATACCCATCTGGATTATTCCTTGCAGATTTTCTCAAGCTCTGTTAAGTTAGATGGGGAGTGGCAGTGAACAGCAATCTTGAAGTCTTTCACAGATGTTCAATGGGATTAAGTCTGGGCTTTTTCTGGGCCACTCAGACGTTCACATTCTTGTTCTGAAGCCATTCCAGCGTTGATGAGGTCCTGCTTCAGAATGCAAGTGACTGGGGCGAAGATTTACGTTCCAACAGGAAAATGACCAAAGCAGGAGGGAGGGTTCTGAACTGTGAGCGAGTGACACGGGGAGCAGGGTGGAAGAGACAGCAACAAACCAAGCCGACTCACGCTATAGAGCAGGGTGGTCAAGGGGTATGAATTAAAGTCTTCACAGATCCACCTGAATACCCAAGCTGGTCCGGATCCAGAATTCTAAATAATGTCACGGGTCTGGGTGGGATCTGATATGATTGTCACGGGTCTCGGGTATGTGTAATTTGAACTGACTTGTCCAGAAGGGCCCGTACAGATCCGAACGAGGCTGCTGCAGTAGAGCAAGTGTGAGAGAAATTAGATATTTTATATTGCTGCTCTTGCTTTTCATGAGAGTTGGGTGTGTAGCTTGTTGTTGGCCAACCATAAGTCATCAAAATCGTCCTTAGCGCCAGAACGGTTTGGCCTACAAACTAGATGAGACTCTCACGAACACAATGGTGTTCTCCGTTGTCCTATACGCCCCCCACAAGCGTCTTGGGACTCGGTACAGCCGATCTGACAACTTCTGCATGTAGTGTCCGAACAGTTTGGGCTACACACCAATTTGACCAATCTGTGCAAAGGTGATACTCTCACGAACACGTACATGTAGGTTGTTTTGCTCTAGGACGCCCACAGGCTTCACAAGACTCGTCAAGGTCCCCCGGTACCAGTTGAAAAAATGAATGGAAGTATATGAGACTGTTTAGTGCCAAAAATAAGCGCTTATCTTACATCAACAACAAAAAATAAGACTCTTATGGGTTAAAGGGAGTAGGATAGGTTACAACAACCAAGAGCCAACAAGTAGTCTGCTACTTAATCCTAGAGTCGATTGACACACCGGTGCGTCAATCTAAGTAACACAATAAAAAAAATCCCCATCAAAATCCTTCAGTTTAAGCTAGAGATATCTGCCGACTTTGCAATTCTGCATCTGCGGTGAAAGGTGGCAGCGCTCTACGACCCCCACAAGTGTTACGGGACTCATCTGAAGGTAACCGGTACCGGTTTTTAAAAATGAATGGAAGTATGAAGGTGGTTTTATGCCTACCCAAAAAAGGGGTTAAATATGTTTAGTTAAAAAAAGGTGTGTGTATATATTTCCTGAGCTTTTTTATATCTCCTAAATATAGGACAAACACTTCAAAACCTTGTTTCTTGTTATTTATTTTGACTTTTTTTTTGCCATTAATGTTATTCAATGTGTTTCTCTGGGCTATAGTAGTAAAGGCCAAATTCAATATTTTATCAAATTGTATTTAAAATAAAAAAAATTACTAAAGGGGTCCAGAAATTCCAAATCAAATAGCTAAATTATCCATAGTATGATCATCTTAAAACAATTTACATATGTCAGTTTAGAACCCTCCCTCTCCCAACGGCTTAGACTTTGAATAATTAATATTCTGAATGGAGTTTTTATTTGAAACTATAGGATGAGAAAGCGCGTGCACTGCAGCCTCAATTAGCCTAGCTAGCTTAACTAGCTTATCCCAGTTTGATGCAATCAAGACAGGTACTACGTTATCATATTTGATGATAAATAACCTAGCTATGGTAGCTATTAGTCTACTATAGCGCGAGTCGGCTTGGTTTGTTGCTGTCTCTTCCACCCTGCTCCCCGTGTCACTCGCTCACAGTACGGCCCTTCCCCCGCCTGCTAGAGCTGCACCTGTCTCTCCCTCCTCTCGTGCTTCATCAGCTCCGATTTTTTTATAAAGTAGCTTAAAATACTTTTCTGCTGCTTCCCGCACTCTGATCGGACCGGGTCTGGATCCGACCAGTTCTGTACGGAGTGGGTCTAGTTGTCCACAGGTCCGTTTGGAACAGGTCTCTATGGAACAGGTCTCTATTTTAAAATATATATTTTATGCATATCGGGTCCGGGGTCCATTTCAGAATGGGTCCAACATTTTGGACCCTTGAAGACTAGTATGATTACTTTCTGAAAGCACTGTATGCATTTTTGGTTGTTGAGTCAATTATACCATGCCCATTTTCAAGCTTAATATATATAATTAAGAATATTTAGGCAAATTAGCTGGCTAACTCATTGATCCTGCTTTGTAGTATACCCCTCAGGTCATATAACAACTAGGTCTACACCAAAGAGTACCAGGTCAGATTAAAAAATATATATATATTGTCTCAATGGAACACATTATGCTCATGTAAATGAAAGCGACACTGTTTCAACTTTTGCAGGAGGTACATGAAGAAGTGGTGAAGGAGTACAACAAAATGAGACTAGTAAGTAAAACAAATACTTATATAGCAAATGTAGTCAATGAGCTACTAGCTAGTTAATGTGTCTAAAACCAAATTTGCTAGGCAAAATAGTGTTTCCTTGCGTAGTTGTGTCAAGCCCATTGACACAACTACGCAAGGAAACACTATTTTGGGCTTGGCACTTGCATGTTGTTGCGATGCAACTACGCAGGACAGCCATTTTACGCTCTTGCATTACATACAGTTGAAGTCGGAAGTTTACATACACTTAGGTTGGAGTCATTAAAACTCGTTTTTCAACCACTCCACAAAATTCTTGTTAACAAACTATAGTTTTGGCAAGTCGGTTAGGACATCTACTTTGTGCATGACACAAGTAATTTTTCCAACAATTGTTTACAGACAGATTATTTCACTTATAATTCACTGTATTACAATTCCAGTGGGTCAGAAGTTTACATACACTAAGTTGACTGTGCCTTTTAAACAGCTTGAAAAATTCCAGAAAATGATGTCATGGCTTTAGAAGCTTCTGATAGGCTAATTGACATCATTTGAGTCAATTGGAGGTGTACCTGTGGATGTATCTCAAGGCCTACCTTCAAACTCAGTGCCTCTTTGCTTGACATCATGGGAAAAATCTAAAGAAATCAGCCAAGACCTCAGAAAAAGATTTGTAGACCTCCACAAGTCTGGTTCATCCTTGGGAGCAATTTCCAAACGCCTGAAGGTACCACGTTCATCTGTACAAACAATAGTACGCAAGTATAAACACCATGGGACCACGCAGCTGTCATACCGTTCAGGAAGGAGACGCGTTCTGTCTCCTAGAGATTAACGTACTTTTGTGCGAAAAGTGCAAAGCAATCCCATAACAACAGCAAAGGACCTTGTGAAGATGCTGGAGGAAACAGGTACAAAAGTATCTATATCCACAGTAAAACAAGTCCTATATCGACATAACCTGAAAGGCCGCTCAGCAAGGCCACTGCTCCAAAACTACCATAAAAAAGCCAGGCTACGGTTTGCAACTGCACATGGGGACAAAGCTCGTACTTTTTGGAGAAATGTCCTTTGGTCTGATGAAACAAACAAAAAAAAAACTGTTTGGCCATAATGACCATCGTTATGTTTGGAGGAAAAGGGGGTGGCTTGCAAGCCGAAGAACACCATCCCAACCGTGAAGCACAGGGGTGGCAGCATCATGCTGTGGGGGTGCTTTGCTGCAGGAGGGACTGGTGCACTTCACAAAATAGATGGCATCATGAGGAAGGAAAAGTATGTGGATATATTCAAGCAACATCTCAAGACATCAGTCAGGAAGTTAAAGCTTGGTCGCAAATGGGTCTTCCAAATGGACAAGGACCCCAAGCATACTTCCAAAGTTGTGGCAAAATGGCTTAAGGACAACAAAGTCAAGGTATTGGAGTGGCCATCACAAAGCCCTGACCTCAATCCTATAGAAAATGTGTGGGCAGAACTGAAAAAGCGTGTGCGAGCAAGGAGGCCTACAAACCTGACTCAGTTACACCAGCTCTGTCAGGAGGAATGGGCCAAAATTCACCCAATTTATTGTGGGAAGCTTGTGGAAGGCTACCTGAAACGTTTGACCCAAGTTAAACAATTTAAAGGCAATGCTACCAAATACTAATTGAGTGTGTAAACTTCTGACCCACTGGGAATGTGATGAAAGAAATTAAAAGCTGAAATAAATCATTCTCTCTACTATTATTCTGACATTTAAAATATAGTTGTGATCCTAACTGACCTAAGACAGGGAATGTTTACTAGGATTAAATGTCAGGAATTGTGAAAAACTGAGTTTAAATGTGTTTGGCTAAGGTGTATGTAAACTTCCGACTTCAACTGTACTTACAGTGCATTCGGAAAGTATTCAGACCACTTGACTTTTTCCAAATGTTACATTACAGCCTTATTCTAAAATTGATTAAATAAAGCATTTTACTCATCAGTCTACACACCATAATAATGACAAAGCGAAAACAGGTTTTTATAAAATGTTACCTTATTTACATAATTATTCAGACCTTTCGCTATGAGACTCGAAATTGAGCTCAGGTGCATCCTGTTTACATTGATCATCCTTGATGTTTATACAACTTGATTGGAGTCCACCTGTGGTAAATTCAATTGATTGGATATGATTTGGAAAGGCACACAGCTGTCTATATAAGATCCACAGTTGAAAGTGCATATCAGAGCAAAAACCAAGCCGTGAGGTCGAAGGAATTGTCCGTAGAGCTTCGAGACAGGATTGTGTCTAGCCACAGATCTGGGGAAGGGGACCAAAACATTTCTGCAGCATTGAAGGTCCCCAAGAACACCGTGGCATTCATCATTCCTAAATGGAAGCAGTTTGGAACCACCAAGACTCTTCCAAGAGCTGGCTGCCCGGCCAAACTGAGCAATCAGGGGAGAAGGGCCTTGGTCAGGGAGGTGACCAAGAACCTGATGGTCACTCTGACAGAGCTCTAGCATTTCTCTGTGGAGATGGGAGAACCTTCCAGAAGGACAACAATCTCTGCAGCTCTCCACCAATCAGGCCTTTATGGTAGAGTGGCCAGACGGAAGCCACTCCTCAGTAAAAGGCACATGACAGCCTGCTTGGAGTTTGCCAAAAGGCACCTACAGGACTCTGACCATGAGGAACAAGATTCTCTGGTCTGATGAAACCAAGATTGAATTCTTTGGCATGAATGCCAAGCGTCACGTCTGGAGGAAACCTGGCACCATTCCTACGGTGAAGCATAGTGGTGGCAGCATCATGCTGTGGGGATGTTTTTCAGCAGCAGGGACTGGGAGACTAGTCAGGTTCAAGGGAAAGATTAACAGAGCAAGTACAGAGATCCTTGATGAAAACCTGCTCCAGAGCGCTCCGCCCCAGTCTGAGGTCCTAAGGTTCACTTTCCAACAGGACAATGAACCTAAGCACAACATGACGGAATGGGGTCAGGTTGGGAAGTTATCCATGACACTGGGGTTAACACTCATACGATAAGTGCCATGGGATTTTTTTATGACCACAATCAGGACACCCGTTTAATGGCCCATCCGAAAGACTGCACCCTACACAGGGCAATGTCCCCTTCACTGCCCTTGGGCATTGGGATCTCCTTTGACCAAGCCAGCAGTGGGATGCAGGGTGGTATGCTGCTGTTGTGTGCTGTTGATGGTGTATTTATTTCTTATTATTTTTCTATTTATTCCTTGTGTTTAGTATTTTTATTTTTTTTGTCTCTGCATTGTTGAGAGAAAGGGTCCGTAAGTAAGCATTTCACTTTCAGTCTACACCTGTCGTTTCCCACGCATGTGAAAAATACAATTTGTTTTGATAACATTAGATGATTAAACTTTGACTCTGCTAAGCTTGGCTACAGCTGTCCAGTTTTATTCAGCGCAGGGAGGCAGACCAAACACTGCATTGGAACGTTGAGCGGTCAAATAACAGTATTTCAACCAAAAAACGTTATGAATGGCTTTCTAAACACTGCATATCAGGTAACATATATTATGGAGTCTAATTTCTTTGAGTGTGTGTCACCCTGCAGCACAGCCCAAACTACCAAGTGGAGAAGCAGCGCTGCGAGTACCTGCACAACAAGCTGGCCCACATCAAGCGCCTCATCGCTGACTTTGACCAGCGCAGGGCCCAGTCCTGGAGCTAGACCACAGTTTTGAGGTGGTTTAAGGGGTGTGTGGAGTAAGGGGGTTCCAACTGGCTTTTATTTATTCCGACCCCCCTGCCTCTGCTGCCACAGTTAACACTTCTAGCCTATGAAGGACTTTATCCAAAAATTAAACTTATTTTTGAAAGCAGAGAAAATATTATACTTACACTTGTATTTAAGTAAAAAAAAAAAAAAGAGGGAGATGTATTTATTTTCAACTGGTCAGATGATTTATTGTTTAAAAAGTTTATATTTTCCGAACGCAATGCAAAAAAAACATGGGCCTTATGTGTTTGACTTTCTGAAGCCATTTTGCACGTGAGAGGAGATCCCATGCTGCGTCCCAATTGTCCGAAGTTGCTTATCTTCCCGTCACCCTCTTCTTTCATTGTGAAGTAGAGGGCATAAGGAGAGGAATCCACTTTAGACCATTGAGACGCAACACCGATGTGTGTGTGCCTGGTTTATAATGGCCATGGGGGAGTAATGGGAGGCTGGGGTAAATTTAGGAGTATCGTCCCCTGACAGCAGGGGGGCGCTACCTGTGCAACATCAGTGTTTCTGCTCTCGGCGCAAAAGGATGCCTTAAGGTGTTAGTTTACACTCTGTAATGTCGAGTCGCAACACGGGGGAACTACAACCACCTGGCTACAGGTCACACACCAGCATGAAGTGTGTGTCTGTCTGGGGGGGGGACGGAATATGAAATATGTGAGGTTGTAAGTGGTACCTGTGTCATTATTATTATTATTATTGTTTTTTTGAGAGGTGACAGGGGTGTCAGAAGAGGAACTACAAAGGTCAGGGTGGTTTGTGGGTGGATATGTGAGTATTATGTGTGGGTGGGCGCCTATGTAAAACGGGGGGGAGTAAGAGATTTGGGGGGGGGGATAGCTAGGTTTCCATCCAATGGGTGACCGATTTTCATGCAAATATTCTAAAATCAACATTTTCCCACCAGAGGTGTTTTCATCAAACTGACTTGTTGCGGATAAAAGTCTGTGCGTGATGAAGTAGTGCACATAAAAATTACTTTTGCTGATAAATTCCCATGTACCGATTTTTTTTAAAATACAAGTTAAATGGATTTCCATCACGTTTTCAAAGGCTGATGGAAAATGTCAGAGAAATGTTGCGTTATATAGCGTATGTGCCCACTCTGGTCGTGGCACGCGCTCTAGCCAACAGCTAGCAGGTACAGTGCGAGTAGGCTACCTACATGATGAGAGCGAGATTCTTTTTATTTGTCAAACGGCAGCCAAGCATTGATCATCATGTCACCAGAATAAGACCCTCAATATTTATTGGAAAAGAGCATCAAGCTCATCACCATGCACTTTCACCACACTGTGAAGTTCATAATTTATTTAATCTGTAGCCTAATAAACTGCATGCTTTCCCGAGGTGTAGTGGGAGGACCACATGATATCATTGCGTGACTCCAAGTTTACTTCAATATGATGGTTATTATATCAATATTTGCGCATGAAGGCATTTACACCTTGTCTAGCGTATTTTGTTTATTTTATTTATTTCACCTTTATTTAACCAGGTAAGCCAGTTGAGAACAAGTTCTCATTTACAACTGCGACCTGGCATTTGGTAAGTTTACTGACAAATTAGCTGTTTCCATCAGGCCTGTCATTCAAAAAAGATTATCCGACATGTACTTTACTCGCTTAAAACGGTTGGATAGAAAACTAGTTTAAAAAAAAGCAGCTATAATCTTTTGTTTGAATAGCCAGAGCACTCAGGATCAACCTGGCTAAAGTTAATGTTCTTAATTGGGGGGCTGTTCTAAAGTAGCCAATCTCTGGAAGGACTAGAGCGTTGGCTCGCCAGTTTATTTACAGGAAAACAGGCTGTTCTGTTTGAGAAAAAATTAATGTATCCACCAGAGGACAAATCTGTATTACGATGACAAATGTATTATTTTCTCCTCGATTCCAGTTTTGTCAGTGCAGCAGAACTATGGAAGAACTGCGAATAGCATTTCTGTTTGTTTTTTAATTGAACTCATGTTGATTTAGTTTGACGGACAGATGGATGGATGCATGCGTTATGAGTATGAAAATCAACATCTTTATTTCAAGGTCTTGAGCTCAAGGGAAATATTATGTTTACAAACCTGTGTTAGAATGTCTGTCCCAGAAAATGAAATACTGTTCTGGTATATATCTACCTACTGGTTCAGCCTTTATTTATGAGACACTAGACACTGATACTGGAGACGGGATATAAAATGTGTTCCCTGGAAGATATTTCAGTTTTGGGGTAGTATTCTAGTACTTATCCTAAATTTGAACTTTTTTTTCCTCTACTTTGTCAGTGGGGGGGGGGAAGGAAAAAATCCAAAATTATAAGTAAGAAACTGAAGATGATGCAGTATGATGTAATGTAAGGTCTGTGATAGACCTCATATCTACTGTCATAATATGATTGGGGCTTCCTTTGGATGGGTCTCTGCAGCAGACTGACTCTTTCCAGAGGTAGTGTCACTTTAAAACAGGAAGGCCCTCTTTAGTCACAATTCAAACTAAATTCCAGTGTTACTACATTTCAGTTTGAAAGTCAAACTATGCAAGGACCATGAGCTCAATACATGCTTTATAGGGATTTGTAGACGTGAAAAATACTTATTTGGAGATCCCTGAAACATCTTGACACTCATGGGTCCCAGTAGAGTACTACAGAACAGGGTCCACTCCCAACAAAATAGAAACTTTGTTGGAACCTCACTCAAATAACTTGAGTGATTGGCTCAGTTTTTCTAGATTTTTTTTAACGCTAGGCTACACACAACTCCCATGGTCTAGTCTGTCTCACTGCCCCCCTCCTTCCTCCTTTTAAAGACTGCTCCGAAAATTTAGCAGCGTTGCTACGAACAGTGCGTTTACACTAGGAAGCGGCATCGCGCGGTGAAACATCGGAAGCTATTCACTCTCAATGGAAGGAAAGCAAGAGAAGCTTAGTGGGAAGGAGGACCGTTGAGCGACGCGAGCATGTGCGAGGGAGCTGTACAGGGTGGGACTAAATTTTGGGGAAGCTGAATTTATTCAAATCCGTCGCAATGTCGTGACGCGAGTGACCAATCGACGCGCACCATAGCTTCCAAACCCTACTGGATTGTCTGACAATGGCTGTTTATACATAGCACTACCTAGCTTGCTTGTTAACACCCACATGAGGGCGAGGCTAGCGTGGCTAGGCGCTAATCGTTCTCATACGACGGCTTGGGGAGAGGCTGTCCTCGCCGCGACCCCGCAGGCTAACACCCAGCTGCAGCATCAGCCAATTGACTGGTCAAAGGACATTCATTTGATGGGGGTCTTAACAACGTGGCAGGCCGCTAAGCGACTCATCCGAACTGCTGGAAGGAAGGAGGGCTGAGGGAGCAGGAGCGGAGGATTTTATTTTTGTTGTTGGGGGAGGAGAGGCCAGAAGTCTTACTGAGAAATTGTAAAGGGCGAACAAGTGTTAAAAGACATCTCAATGTTTTGGTGTGAAAGACGACTCGGAACTGTATGGATTGTGAAGGAGTGCTGAACCTGCCCACCTGAAAATACATTAAATCTGTAAAATAAAAGTCAACTTGGCTCTACATTGAAGATTGTGGACTGTTCTTTTTTTTTTTTCTCAGTTGCATGCCATCTGCATACCAGCGTGATCAATGGGCCTTGACCCCTGGTTAAAAGTTCCATATGAATGCAACCCATTGTTATGAAGGCGTGTTTGGAAGCTTTGGAATGTTGATTGATCATTTCGGCTACCAAGACTTCACATTTGTTTCATCATGGTTAGTGTGAAAAATCATACTGTTGAATATACTTGTCATGGAATGAACAGTCAGTTTCATAGTTAGAAACGTAGACTGTTGAACAGTAGCAAACTGGATAGAGTCCCTCTGGCTCCATCTGTGCTAAGGTATACAGATCCTGCTCTTGTGCACACATGGAAAGGTCATTGTTTAAATAGTTTCAAGCAACTTGGGTTGTACAGGGATTTTTTTTTGGAGCAATGCAAATTTCCTTCAACGTGTCAGTGACTGTTCATATTTTCACACATGCATGCATGTTCCAGGGGTTTAAAATTATAGGACTGGGAAAATAATTTTCCATTTTATATTTCAATGTTAACTATTGTAACTGAGGTGGTTCAGTGAACCACGTGATGAGTAACCTTGCCTGAAGATGTGCTGGCTCATTGAGCAAATGTCATCACCTAATTTGCATAATTGGCCATGTGCATGTAATTGTGATGGACGCTGTAGGAGAGCGGAATAACGTCGTGGGAGAGACAAAAAGTGAGTAAAAACACCCTAAATATGTTTAGAACTGCAAATGAACTTTCTTCTGTCGATTTCTTGTTTTTTTTTTATGTCACAATTCCAACCATCCTCCATTATCTGGGCTTGGGACCGGCAAAAGTGACCCAAAAGAGAGACACTGGCGGAGTTACTTAGTTTTTTATTTATTTTATTTTTGTTTTATTTTTGTTTTTTAGTTTAGTTTTCTTAAGTTTGGTTTTTAACCTTATGGTCCACTTAGGATCCTACAACAAGTCACAGTAAAACATGAACATTTTTAACCGTAACATTAAAAAAAATAATGGTATACAATCTAAATGGACCAAAAAGAGACCAATAGAAAAAACTGTCAATGGCAATGTGAGAAAATGATGGTAACTAGTCTGGCCCTAATTCAGGTTAATTGTTATTGTTTTTTCAGAACCCCCTCCACACACACACACACAGTCTGTGCTGGCTCACAGAAAGAGTGGGTCATCGTCATTTTGGTCAAGGCTCTCTATGGCAGGTTCAGCAACTGAGGGAGCTGACTTAAATGAGTAAGCAGCTGATGTGCCAAAAAGCTGCAAAACATTATCAGGCAGCTGGTGCTCATAGCAAGCCTCACCAGACAGCTTCAGTCCATATTGAATGTACAGGATGGAGTTAAGGGTCTGCAAGGACATCCGATTTCTAAGTTTGCTTTTTACCA